AATATCGTTTAAAACTATTGACGTACAGTGGAAAGTGCCTACAAAACTTTTTGAATGGACTTTAACCATCAATAAACATCAGGCAACACACGATGTTTTTTGCAGGAAATTTAATGCACTCCTCTCGGCTTTAAAGGGTTAAAAAACGAAATCAAAACTACCAGCCCATTCATATCTGTCAAATTTAAGTGTTTTATTTTATTACAAAGGGAAGAAAGTCGAGCTATAATTAGCTAAAAACAACCGAAATGTTTTTAAACCATTCACAAATGATGTGGTGAAAGCCAGAAAAATGAAAGTCGGTTTCAAATTTACAAGTGTAAGGCAACCTGACTCGAATAATTGACGTTTTATAAACATTTTTTCAATTGGAGAATTTAACGTTTGACAGTTTTGTAAGAAAATGAAATTTTATCTTAAGATGACAGAGTGGAGCAAATCACGATTTTTTTGTTAACTTGTAAGAAGATAAATATAAAACGACGAGAAGGGAGTATGCTAAAGATATTAAAATACTAAATAAATAGGTATTTATATGATTTCAAGGGTGGTCCTGGTCCTATTCTTCAAAAAATCACACGAAGAGGGTTACAAATTAACAGCTTATCCGAAACACTTGTCGGCAAAATGCGATGAGCATAAGACGTTGTTTCAAATGTAGAATATGTATGCTGTTGACTTGTCCGTCGTGTTCAGAGTTTGGTCTCTGTCGACATCGACGTAGAAACTGTGATCAACTGCAAGATTCTCAAGATGTCGACAGGATAGTTTTTCAATCATCCCCTAGCGTAACGAAATGAATTAAAGCCAAGTTCGTTAAATATAATTGAAAACACAATGTCCCCTTGTCTGCAATTTGATTCTTACCTACACTGTTGTCCCACAATTGAGATTTAAAATCAAACTTTGCCAATAATAATAAATGATAAAAAAATTAGCCATTCTGAACCTGTCAGTAATATTACATTATAACAGAATCAACCATTCTGATCAATCAGTTATAATAGACGATTAAACAAAATTAGCCATTCTGAACCAATCGTTAATAATAATTAAAACAAAAATAAGTGATTCCTAAGCAAACAGTAATAATACATTGTAACAAATTCGGTCATTCCTAACCAGACATTAATAAGACATTGTAACAAATTTCGTCATTCCTAATCAGACATTAATAATACCTTGTATCAAAATCAGCCATTATAAACCAGTGGGTGCGGGCACAGTTTTTGTTGTCAAATCTTCTTTAATATCTCGCGTTTGCCGCACCCCACGACAAGATTATTGCGTTGCCGACATGATTTATAATCTAAAACAAGTTCGAAATATTTCGCCGGTTATTTTATCGTCATCGTCCAATCAGATTCATATTCATTCTATTTGCATGATCCGAACATTGACCATTCGTGTGCCCGCGCCTTAATGATACATTGTAAAAAAAGTAAATCATTCAGAGGACATCAACCACTCTGAACCAGAGAGTAACAACAAATTAAAAATAAATCAACCACTCTGAACCAGACAGTAATAATACAATATAACAAAATCAACCATGCTGATCAGTCAGTTATAATACAATATGACAAAATCAACCATTCTGATCAGTCAGTAATAATATATTGCAACACAATCAACCTTTCCGATCAGTCAGTTATAATATATTGTAACACAATCAACCTTCCAGATCAATCAGTTATAATATATTGTAACACAATCAACTTTTCTGATCAGTCAGTCATAATACAATATGACAAAATCAACCATTCTGATCAGTCAGTAATAATATATTGTAACACAATCAACCTTTCCGATCAGTTAGTTATAATATATTGTAACACAATCAACCATTCTGATCATTCAGTTATAATATATTGTAACACAATCAAC